TTGTCGGCACAAACAGGTACCAGAACCGGGAGTCTCGAAGCAAGGTGAACCCTCAGGGTTTACCTTGCTGTTCAAGGAGGATGGGAGGTCGTCTTGGTCGGGTTGGCATGGATGAAGACAGCTTCTATATTGGCTCAATAGCCCGATCAACCCGAATGTGATGGCGAGCAGCGCGACGGACGGCGGACCGTTGGAGGACGATGCAGTAGTCGAGGACTGCGCATATGCAGAGTGGAAGAGAAGAGGCATTAAGACCCCATCGACGGACGTAGTGACTCGCGCTTGGCGTTGCGTCGAGTTCTGTGCGGCGCTTTTGTCAGTCGATCCACGTACTTCGAGGTATTCCATGCTCCGCACAGAACTTGCGATGGCTCGTTGCAGTGGCTTCGAACATGGCCAGGAGCTTTCGCTTTTCGTCGATGGAGTAAGACTTCTTGCGGTGTCGCGTCGGCATGATGTCAAGTGAAGCGTTTCAAATTTTGAATTTGAATAGGCCAATACCCAAAACTACATTGCTTTTTCGTTTATTTATCCAGTGTGTATGTAGTACCTCACAACTACGCATGCAGTTGGACAGACCCACACAAGGACACTGCATTGAGCGCTGCACAGATGAGGAAGGTCGGATTGAAGCAGCTATGGCCTTGGCAAATTTCAACCCCGGACGGGGACGTGGTGGCGGTCACATGGTAAAAGGCCGACGCGAGGGGACCAAGGATGAGCGGAAACCCAATGGCATTGGAGAACGTCATGTAACCAAATTTCTTACCGAAGTGCGCGGCGCCAAACAGTTCCCACGTGAGAACCGAGTACGTGGGAAAGAGGCATCCTTAGACGATGCCCGCCGCCGCCACCAACACATAAAGCGAGTCCAGCGAGCCCCACAGAAAACTCAGGTGCGCCGCCGCCATGAGCGCCAAACCGCCAGAAAGAAAGTGGCCGCGCGAAAGGATACCGACGGACGCATCCGACACCCACCTGACGGCGACGCGGCCGCCGACGTTGCAGATTGAAAAGACCGACACCAGCGTGGGGACGAGAGCAGGTGAGCCGAGGCGCGCTTGGACAATGAAGGCCAAGTTCGCGTTCACGAGAAGCCCCGAGCCTACTCCGATCATTGTCGGCACAAACAGGTACCAGAACCGGGAGTCTCGAAGCAAGGTGAACCCTCAGGGTTTACCTTGCTGTTCAAGGAGGATGGGAGGTCGTCTTGGTCGGGTTGGCATGGATGAAGACAGCTTCTATATTGGCTCAATAGCCCGATCAACCCGAATGTGATGGCGAGCAGCGCGACGGACGGCGGACCGTTGGAGGACGATGCAGTA